GTTCCAGTGCAATAATGTAATTAGACCTCGGCCTGGAGCAGGAGAAGCAACAGGGTGCTTTTTATGGAGTAGGAGATTAACACACACTCACGACCCACTCTGGGCAAGAGTCATTTGATAATTTTCCCCTCGAAAAATATAGTACAAGAAGAAAAATTTCTGTTTGTGTAAAATATTTACAAAATTGGATAGTTTTCATTTTTACTTTTTTGCAAACCATAATGTCACAAAGATGTTAAGGGCTTAAAGCTTGGTACATATTATAGACCCTGATAGGGCACATCAAAGGAAGGCATAAATGAGTTTAATTATAATTACAGGTACGGTAGTAGGTATTTTATATCTATTAGGTATCTACATCATTTTATATTTTTTTTTATAAATGTAATAAGTCGACAAACGAGCGGACGGATTACCTGATGGTAAGCAATCAGCGCCGCCCATGGACATTCGCAACGGTGGAGTTACGAGTGCGTTGCCGACCTTTTAGGGATTAGGGATTGGAGATTTAGGGATTGAGAGGGATTGGGGAATGAGAAGGATTAGGCCTCCGGTAACCTCATTCACACAGCGAAACAGAACGCTGTGGTTCAATTTATTAATCAGACTATTTTTTTCATCATCATCATCATCAGCCTATAAGTGCCCACTGCTGAGCAAAGGCCTCTTCTCACCCGGAGAAAGTTAGAGCATTAATCACCACGCTTGCTCACTGCGGGTTCGCGATTTCAAATTTACAATTAGAAATTATAAGTCCAGGTTTCCTCACGATGTTTACCTACACCGTATGTCAGTGGTGTCTAAATAATCATAGAAAGTACATATAACTCGGAAAAAGTCACATTGGTACTTGCCAGGTTTCGAACCCACACCCTCATGCATGAGAAGCGGGCTTAATCTTAATCTCCGGGCCACCACCACATATACCACGGCTCTATAAGAATCTTTATCTTTAAAAATAATAGTGTTGATATATTAGAAAAATACTTAAACAGATATTTCGTGAAAGCTAATAAATATATTTGCACGTACAATTCTTCTTAATCGTACGTCTACGGGCTTTTTGCCATGGGAATATTATCCTATTCAATTGCAAAATAACTGCATAGAGTTCATTATGTGTTGCACCTGTTAAAGAGCTTGTGTACTACCAATTTGTTATTGCCAATTCTATAATAATGATAATTATATTAATGCCTGATTAAATTTACGACGAATAACAGCTGTGTCGATTTGTTAATAAATCGATTTGTAATAAAAGATCGCATGACTTTTATTTTGGTACCAATTAATATTATAAAGAGGTAGAGTTTGTATGTAGGGGGTAATCGTTGGATCCGCTGGTTGGAATGCCTATATTCTTTCACTGATAGATAGCTACAATGTTCCTGATTGCTATAGGCTATAAAACATCACACTACAATTAAAAGGATCCGAGCAACGGGTGAAACCGCGCGAGATTAGCTAGTTTTGGTATATTTTTGTCAAGAGACAAGGTAATAAAACATTTTTCAACAGCATACTTAGGTTATTTTGACAACGACGAAGCAGAAAAATATGTGGATCTAATAGTCGCCAGTAATGTGTGAAACAAAGGACTAGAAAAAATGTGTGAAACAAAGGACTAGAAAAAAATAAATGTCGCAATATCCATATGCAAGCCAACATACGGACTAAAAGAATTATAACATTTCAAACGATAGTAATTCGAGACACGAGTAAGACAAGTAAGGTGCGCGGACGCCGGTTTTCCCTTGGGCATTGATGAATTAAATTCTTAAAGATAGAACATTAGCTGTAAGATGTCGGAAAAGAATAAAACATCTGTTTGAAATGTAAACTACATTATTTTCTAAAGAAATGATATAAACTTACAATTGTAAAAACAAAAGATGTCAAGAAGACTATTTGTAAGATCAAGTAACGCTATAATATAAATGCAACTCAATTTTAAGACGCCATATTATTAAAGTGGCTATGATGATTTTAGAGAGGTAAAATTTTGTATGTAGGAAGTAACCCTTGGAATCGCGGATCGGATATCCATAATTCTTTCACTGATAGATAGCTACTATGTTATGCTATTGCAGGCTATAACACATCACGCTTCGATCAAATGGAGCCGAGCAGCGGGTGAAACCGCGTGAGAGTAGCTAGTATTTGGTATAAGAGGTAAAACTAACATTAATTGTCCTTCTTAAAACGCGAACTTATCAATGGTGTTTTAAAAATGTTACGAATCTGTCCAGTAAGCTACTAAAGCAATATAAACAAACGAACAAATATTATTTCTTATAAATTATTAAAGGTATAGATAGCCAAGAAATTGGCAATGCTATCTCGTGTCATTTCTTATTATGTATATTTTGACATACGGGCTATTAGTAGGCATATATTTTTGTCGCATGTAAAATTAAATGGTTTTGCTGATGATAAAGGAGAGAAGAAGAAGAAGAGCTAAGAACTTAAGAAAGTATTGTTTTAAAACAGTCACAATGCCCTGACTTTATTATACTAATAGGTCTTTACCTAAGAAATTGCCGATTTGCATGAAAAAAATTTAACGAACTTTTTGATTTGAAATGCGATGAGAATGTAACACTAATCAATAAACAAATGACTAGAATTTTGGAAAAAGAATCCCATGTTTTTAAAACCAAAATAATAGGCCCTAACAAAAACTATTTTGATTTGAAATGGCCAGTACTGCAGAACGGCAATTTCATAGGTAAAGACCTATTATTATAACATTATGTACAGATTATAATGAGTTTTGAGGTGGAATATTAATAGTGTTAAATTAAGAAATCTGAATCAGCAATTGTAGGGAACTTCTGGAATACGCTGACGATTTCTTTATAAAACGCACTTAAGGTATTAACACCTACTAAACAATGATTACATAACATTCTTAAATTACTTCTTTATCGTAGCCGGGAAAAGAAAACCGCACATTGGCGGCCATTACAACGGGGCTGAAGACTTAAATTACGTATTTTTATTTTATTCATTTCCGGATCTAATTAAACTTTGTTATTTCTATTTCTAACAGTATTTATACCGCTTATCCTATTATTCGTAGCTACATAATGTGCCCGTAAGTTAAAAAACATCAAAGCAAACCATTATTTAAATACGTTACCCTTTTATTAGAATTTTAAGTACTTGGCAACTCTGTCCAGCCTTTTTTTACGATCGCAACAAATTATTCTAGCATCGTTTATTATTCCATAGAAATAAGTGTCGTTTATAGTCTATGCTACAAATGAAAACTTTTTCTATAAACTCTTTGTTGAATTTCGGCCAATTCGATTCTTTTTTTAAAGTTCTATGAAATGGCGGCAAAAAATATGGGCACATGTCAACGACCGAAATAATTATGAAAAGTTCTTGTTTTTACATTGTGTACCTAATGTTTTATGTGAAGACAATAACAATATGATTAATTTTGTAAAAGATAACTCGCTAAACGTCTGGGCCTTAAGCCAATTTATAACAAGTTGCAGTTCAAAATGTATACAAAACAGAAGAAATTAGGTTTTGTTTTTTGTCTGTCTATAAACTATTTGATTATTATAGTAGAAAATCTGAAACACGATACCGACCGATTTTTATTTTTCAACATAACACATTATTTTATTTGTGAAACAGAACGTAGGATATCCCACACGTTTGTTATAAATTATCTATCTATGTATACCTATGTTTCTTCGACACATAATATTAAAGTGTTGAAATACATGTGTAGAACGTAAATGTGTGGGTGGGTTTGTTGTAGAGTACATAGACTAAGAAGTTTTTTTATAGGTAAATTCAGTAAAGGCAAAAATATATTTATGTGGCTTGTCGCGTCGCATCAGCAGGCTTCATGCCAGTTTCATTAATTTGACAACACACGACACGCCTCACCAAAAAGAAATGCCACAGAAAGGAACTGGCTGTATAGCTAACAGCTAAATAGCAGAGACTCAGCGGACATAAGAAGAAAAAAAAACACAAAATGTATGAATCTGATAGGTTTTTGGCGCTATATGTTACGCCAAGGTAAAGTATTATTGCTATTCCCCTCTTAAATATAAAATAACTATCTTTTTTATTTCCGAAATGTGCAGTTATTGTACGAAATGCGCGAAAATAGTTTGTATCAAGTCAGTTTAAATCTTCTCATTGCCTTTATTCATCTAAACATTCTGTAGGTATAGAATAGCTACAATAAAATTGCATTGTGTTTTATTCTAATCGACACTAAATTGCAATTAGGGCTCGATAAGCGTATATATCAGTATGTTCATCGATACGTACCTACTTAATTAAATTGGAATCTAATATTTATTAATGTAAGTACATTAATAAATATTAGATTACAATTGTACTTACTGCAACTATAGTCTTACTATAGTTGTTAGAAGTTTGATTAAATTGTTGGATATTTCTTTAAAGATAAAAGGAATTTTATCGCCCTTTGTACGGTGAGAGGGAATGTTGGACTCCCGAAGGAAGGAACGGGGTGAATCCTCGTTCCTTGTCCAGCCCATAGCCAGGTTACGGTACCCCATTGCAGTTTGCCTGCAATCCGGCCAGGAGATACCCATAACTTGTAACGAGATGTTTTGCTTTTTTGATGAAGTGCTCAGATCCGCGACAAACGTAGGACATTTTTTTTTTATTTTAACAAAGTTAGCAAGGTGTTATTGAGGTATCTTCGGTTTCTTAAACAAATCTCAGTAAAAACATGGAGTCAGGAATTACGACCGGTGCAAAAGAACAATATTTTAATTAAAATACACGTACTTTAGGATATTGTAAGGACGTTTTATCTGTAAAAGTTTGTGAGAATATATGTTTGTTACTGTTCTTCTTCTGTTCTTTTGGTTTGGTTGGATTTGGTTGTGGTAGGTAGATAGGTAATACACTACTAGATTAACAAATAGGCTACTTTTTATCAACACATTACGGGGGCGCAGCCACGGGTAAGCTAGTGATATATAAATTCCACTCACCCATTTGGAAGGTCTGCGCTGAGCTGGTCGAGCAGAGAGTCCACTGTGGGTCGGGAGGAGGCCGGGCTGGATGTACCATTGGTGCGAGCATAGCCATCCGTTACTGTAACAAAAAGATTAAATTTATACATGAAAAAAGTATTCATTACGGCGACTTTGAACAATCTATTTATATATTTACTAAAACAGCAGAAACTTTATTTTAAAATATTTTCAACGGAGCTTAATTACCTAGGTAAATACAATCTCCGATAAGCAAATCTCTAGATACTTAGGTTATTGAGCTAGCTGTTAATCTATTATTGATTTTTGGAGTTAAAATCATTTCGCACACAGTGATACGGATTTAGGATTTACAGGCGTAAAGATGTTTTTCCGTATTATAAAGAAACATCAAAATAACCAGAAAAATTAAGCACTAATAGCTTACAAGTAAACCATTGATCACATTTGGTATTTATGTAAACGAGCCTTAAATTTTTTGCTTTTAATTATTGTTCCCGTATGTTTGCGTAAATTGTATAATTTAAGTGTTAGAGAGCCATGCTTCGGCACGAGTGGGTTGGCTCAACCGGAGTGATACCACGGCCTCACGGAAGACCGGCGTGAAACAACCACAGCGTTGTGTTTCGCCGTGTGAGTGAGGTTACCGGAGGCCCAATCCTTCCCCGTCCCCAATCCCTCCTCAATCCCTAAATCTCCAAATCCCTAATCCCTAAAAGGTCGGCAACGCACTCGTAACTCCTCCGTTGCGTCCGTGCTCTCCGTTGGGTGTCCATGATTGCTTACCATCAGGTAATCCGTCTGCTCGTTTGCCGACCAATTACATAAAAAAAATATATAAATGCTTCTTAGTTTTCGTGACTCTTATACAGAAACCCTGTATTATTAGGTAATATTAAAATGAACTGAAAAAATAATGTTGAGCACAGAAAATCACAACATAGTATCAAACAAAATAGTATTTACTGTCCAGTTCTGTACGCTTAAATCTTTAAAACTACGTAATGGATTTTGATGCCGTTTTTAACAAATAGAGTGATAGAAGAAAAGGTTTATATGTATAATAACTTCCATTAAATGGTGGAGAAATTTAGTAAGTACCAGCAATGTAATAGCGCGAAATTTTTGTTTTTTTTTTTTTTGTTTTTTTTAAATAGCGTTGCCCCACACTAGGATTTTCTCCTGTATCATGGGTGGGGTTACAAACATACAATTCCACATACACATGACACCCAGACCCGAAACAACAATTTGTGGATCACACAAAAAGTGTTGTTCCGTGCGGGAATCGAATCCGCGACACGTCGCACGGCAGCCAGTTGCCCAGCCACCGCGCCAACCGTGCAGTCGAAGATTGGGTGGGTTGCTAGTTGTATCATAAAACAGTCTTTGAATAGAAAGTTTCATTTTACGTTCTGCAATTTTCACGGTCGTAACGTTTATTTTAGCCGTTAATCGATTACGCGAATTACGAAGATAAATAAACATGAGCATAGAAATAGTTCAGAATACTAGGTACACTGACTAAGACCTAGGAATTCAGAGCAATAATCTTAAGGAAATCGCAATTTTAGCATTAACATAATCTCGCATAATGGTATATTGCTTTTGTTTACGCCTTAGGCGAAATTTGTAGAATACATATTTTTACTTTGCACAAACTGTCACGTCAAAAGTCAAAAAGACAAAAGCATTTATTCCAACTAAATTACATAAATAATTAAATAGGTACTTTTGCAACGTCAAATAGAATAGTAGTCTGTCAGTCTGTCAGCTGGGGTTGCGGGGTAAGCAGCGGCCTCGAGCAGGAGAAGGAACGAAGGGATTTTAGTCAGTTAAATATTTTTGTTATTGTTATACATATGTAAAAGTAGTGCATCTAAAATTATATATTAGTTTATTGCCGATAAATGTATATTTTTATTTATTTTTGAATAGTATTTATGTAAGTGTATATATTTAGTAATATCTCGATTTTGCTTGCCTCTTGCACCTACCATCGAGTCCTCTCTACATCACCCAAAGTATCGACTGGCAGAGAATGCTAATGAAATTCAGTCCAATGTTTGTGCAAAAGCTTAAATAAATATAAAGAATATATTATAAAGTAGAACTGATATTTACGAGCACAGGAACCTTGCCTTTGAGAATGTACTTACAGAAGTACAAACGATTTTGGCAAAGGAATCATCATTAGAACCAGCGTTTCTAAGTTCATTAACATTTAGAACGGAACGTTTATGCGTTACAAACAATGTTACATTTATTTTAATAGTACGACGACGTGTTTACATGTAATTTTAGAAATTTTTAGAAATGATCATGCAATCCACCACTTTATTAGTCCATAACAAAGCCAAAAATTAAATGCATATAAACTTAAATCGGTGGCAGTTGCAATTTAAAAAAAGAACTCTTATCTTGTTCACAATTAAAAAATGTTATGGATACTAAATAGTCAGTAATAGGCAGTCGTTTTCTAGAAGAACGTAACACTCGAACAAGCAGCATACAATAGTCTTCAGGGTAATTTAAATGTATTTAAAACTAATGCTCGTTTTGTTTTAGGAAAGGGACGTGACAGGTGGAGTGTGGAGTGTTCTTGACGAATTCGTCCAATGCCAAGAACAGGCCCTTGTGGAAAAGTAAGTTTGGCGACTAACATTTTCTACGTTTAAATATTAAGAAAACATGCTCCGGTAATTTGCAAGACGTTAATTTTCCTAAATACAAATAGTACATACTAGTTACACTCGAAAGCTAGTAAAGAATAAATTTTGACGACAAATCTACACAATGAAATAAATACGATTGATCTGACTTGACCTGAATATAATAAAGAAACTAACACATATAATAAAGACACTGTTAATTTATCACAAAGGAATGCAAGAGGAATGAATACTAAAAAGAAAATTAATAACCCATAAAACTCCGATGTTGAACTCGAAACGATTGACCCGACAGATCAATTGGTTGTACAAATAGATTAATCGATTGAGGTTAGCCAACTAGTAAATAAATATGTTAAATAGACTGATACTGTAATAAATAGTGTTACGGTATCTTGGATAGGAAGAAATATTCAGGTCGTTGTAGACGGAATGCTAAATGGTAAGTCTAAATATGATTTAAAGCTCGGGGACTGAGATGACAGATGAGGTGAAGAAAACAAAATGAGTTCGTTACTTGCGTACAATTCTAAAAGATCAAAGTCATGGATGTTAGGGGAAATTGAAGAGATATGGTTTCGAAGATAACTGAAAAGTATTGTAGAATATAGAATGTTTCTAAAAGATGAAATTATGCTCTTGAGAAAGGTTAAGAGTAGAAACGGAAAATGAAGACGTAGTCGTAGCCAAAAGCAATTTCATAAATAAATAGCAATCCCTAAAACATGATAGCGATCCAAACAAATGTCTAATTTGCAACGACTGAACGATTTATGAGAATGAAGAACGTGAAAGTGTGGAAAATGCACCGATAAAGTATTTTTAGGTTTGTGGAGGCGCGGAGATGGCAACACATAGTTTCTTAAAAGATGCGAATGCAGTCTACATTGCTAGACATTATGCCAAACATCAAATGCGCACTGTTAGTGCTTTGTATAAAATATGGTTTTGTATCAGAAGGGATCCAAATGTCTAAATAAAAGCGTCAGATCGATGCCAAGTGTCGTTAACGAGGGAGTAATTTAAATGTATTGAATTGAAGATGCGATGCACTAATTGGATAATGTATTTGGAAGACCAGTGTTAACATTCTGGTCAGAGAGATAGAGTAGCATAAATTAAGAGACTTAAGAATTACGAGATATTTTCGAGCAAAAGAAAAACACTAACATGATTGATAGATTACGAGGCATAATTTTGCAAAGTCTAAGAATTTTCGAAGAGGAAAAATAGACAAAGTATAATCAGACAGTCAGAACGTCAAGACAAGTGTTGATTTTATCCGTACTAAAATAATTTTACACTATAAATTGTTATTCCAGATCGTACAACAAGATTTATACATGAAAACCATTCTACAAATAAATTACAATGAAGTCATAATAACATAGAAGATAATAATGCATGACATAAACACGGCAATAACAGATATTATTAAGAAATCAAAAAAAGAAACATGATTATTTGGAGTTGGTAACACAAGTTTGTAAGCAAAACAATCTGGAACGGTGTTCTATTTCTGATGGAACGAGCTTTGGCCTTGGTGTAGACATTTGGCTATTACTTACAGCTATAAACATACTATTTATTACTGTATTCCGATGAATTTGTTGATGTATGGCGCTGTGAAAAGGTTTCGTCTATATTGGTATCGTTGTAAGTTACATCTTAATGTAATATATCGAGAATAACATAACTATCATCTAAGCCTATAATTGCAATAAAACTGACGAAAAATTTTGCTCTATAGGTAGGTACTGTAGCTATTTTTTTAACATGTCCCTACTCTGGGTATCTATGATGTTTCGTCATCTGTAAATGAATTGTTGCCGTTCTCACTGCTCCTTTTTATTATCAGCCCAGCTCAATGCCACTACTACATGCATGTCTCTTATTACACATATATCTTCAACTTTTTCTTGCCAAACTTCACAGTTCGGAGCACGCATTGGCATTAATGAGGACATCTTTACGTGTTCATTGAACAAGATAATGTACTTAATGTTAAAATGATCAGGATTCGAAAAGCCAAAAGCTCAAAGTTTTTGTAGCAGCAATAAGATTAGATTTCTGTACGTTTGTGATTATGGAATTAATATTTATTGAGTTGACTGCTATCCTAGCATAATAACCGCAGAACTAATAAGATTTACATCAATGCTACCTGAAGTCATCGTTAATGAATCGCTGCACAGCGTGTGAATAATTTAATAACTTTGCATCGTACACGGAGCACAAAATACTGGACTATTTATTATTTCATATTTATCTCACCTTTGAGAGTAACAAATTGCTCTTGATAACTTCTAGAGTAATTTGGTCTACAAGTGATTTTCCTCAAACTGCTCTATGTAGTCTAGCTCAACTTTTTCTTATACCTTACTGGTATGCTAGTGGTACAATCTTAGGTTTTTAGGTAGAACATCTTTCGTAACATTCATATCCTAAATGTCAAATACTATCGCTACTTAGTATAGACGAAAACTGTCCAGTTTAAAGAATTGAAGAAGAATTAAATGAAGAAAAATTGTGTACGAGTCATGATGAAAGTTACCTTATATCAAGAAAAAAAGCTGTCCGGGTTTCTTGATAGCGACGATGTGATCGTGACGGTTTATAAAGATAAAAGCCTCCTTTACAGGTTCTACAACACCATTTTAGTTAAGAGTATCGCTCTTGCTGACTAAAAACCACCCATTTTGTCATCCTGCTCCGAGCTGAACTGCGGTATTAAATACTGTAGCGCATTGCTTTTGAGCTACCAGTTTTTTTTTTTTTTTGATTGATTATAGGTTCGCGCTTGACCGCTATCTGACCTGATGGAAAGCGACGATGCGGTCGACGATGGAGCGTGCTCCTTCTTCTTTAATACTTCTTAAGGCATAAATGTTCATCTCCTTTCCTTAATTTGGGCCAAGGTTTTTCTTTAATATTATTTATTCTGTCGCTGACAGGACACGCCCCTAAATTGATCACACGCTCGTCTCGTTGGACTAATATTAATATTATGTTTTTAGTTTTTTTAGTGAAGTGGCAGTGATGTGTGTTTCTAATCTGCCATGATTACATCAAAGTAAAGTTGACGTAGGATGTGTTAATAAAAATTATTTGCGCGATATAATATTTTATTAGGTGTAGAGTTCCTTTGTTTAGGATCCGCTTTTTATAATGAGTATAAATTTGAATACACTTTAGTTGTTTTGTTTGTACGCGTTGATGCATAATACATTGGTCCGTGTAGTGTCCGTGGGGAACGATTTCATAAACTTAAGGTATGTTTATTTTATTTATTTTTATTTTATGTGATAGGTAGGCAAACTAGCAGACGGATTACCTGATGGTAAGCAATCAGCGCCGCCCATGGACACCCGCAACGGAGGAGTTACGAGTGCGTTGCCGACCTTTTAGGGATTAGGGATTTGGAGATTTAGGGATTTAGGAGGGGTTTACACGTAAATAAGAATTTTGGATGACGTACACGTTTTTTGTTACCGCAAGGAGGCTGGAATTTACACGTTGTGTAAATGTGAATGAATGTGATTGTGGTATTGGGTACCGAGTTACAAATTACCAAATTCTCAGTATCTAATAAAATGCTCGGGTCAATTATTTTGTCCGAAAATCTCATCCTACTAATACATCACACATACATCATCAGCCTATAAGTGCCCACTGCTAATCAAATACCTCTTCTCACATGGAGTAGATTTGACCATTAATCACCACGCTTGCTCAGGGCAGAAATTGGCGATTTCAGACTTATAATTAGACATTCCTAAGTTCTGGTTTCCTCACGATGTTTTCCTTCACTGTATGTCAGTGGTGTCAAGGTCACATTAATACTTTCAAGATTCCGAACCTGCACCATCATCCGCCTTACCCGCATCTTACTAATATCAATACGACATTATCAACCCTTCTATACAAAGCGTAAGCGTGGGAGACCCACGCTTCGGCACGAATGGGTGGCTCGACCGGAGTGATACCACGGCCTTACAGAAAACCGGCGAGAAACAACCACAGTGTTGTGTTTCGCCTTGTGAGTGAGGTTACCGGAGCCCAATCCTTCCCCTTCCCAATCCCTCCCCAGTTCCTAAATCTCCAAATCCCTAATCCCTAAAAGGTCGGCAACGCACTCGTAACTCCTCCGTTACGGGTGTCCATGGGCGGCGCTGATTGCTTAGCATCAGGTAATCCGTCAGCTTGTTTGCCGACGTATTACATAAAAAAAGCTAGATTTATAACAATAATAAAACCACTTACCATTTCTTTCGTTGTACGTAGTCTTGTCCACATAGTTCCCATATCTGGCGTTGCTCAGGTCATCGAGTAGGGTGTCCAGTTCGGTGAGGTGTCCTCGTCCACTTCTATCTGAGGCTGTCCTGCCATACGCTGGTTGTGCAGTGTTATACGCAGGTTGTCCTGCGTTGTAGGCATTGTGGTTACCATAGCTGGCTTGTGTTGTGTTGTATTTTATTGGATGCACTTTCTCGTGGAGAGATGATGTGTTCTGGTAGGTTGGCTGTGGACAAAAATATTGGCTATTAAGATTGTTAAATGTTAGGGAAAATATTTAGTTTTAATTCCGCGACAAAAATCCAGGCTTGTTGCAGGATGCAATCCCACTCCTATGCAATCATGCATATGCACATGCAGCAAGGGGGGCGGGGGAAGGGAGGGGGGGGATTATATGCATGATTGCATAGGAGTGAGATTGCATCCTGCAACAAGCCTGGATTTTTGTCGCGGAATTAAAACTAAATATTTTCCCTAACATTTAATGTCATGGATTTCCGCAAAGTAACGCCTGATTCTATAAATTATATTAAGATTGTGTAAGACGCGGGAGTCACCTAGAGAAATTCTATGTTTTGGGATTTAAAAATAATGGTGAAGTTATATTGTGGGCAGTGTATGTAGGTATGTCTTGTCCTATTTTATTTCCTAGCTAAACTGTTTCCATACTAACTTTTAAACTTTCGCGTTTCATATTTACAACATATACTTAATTACGCGGGTATTAACGCGAAAAATAATTATTTAAATACCTTGGTAGGCTTGACGTTTCGACCTGGTTGCACAGGTCGTCGTCGTCGACCTTGCGAGGTATTTAAATAATTATTTATCGCGTTAATATATGTTAATACCGCGTAATTATATGTTGTAACTAGCGGATTGCCCCTGCTTCGCACAGGTCCTACTACCCCGGTGTCAGTCATTTGTTTTGCAAGTACGGCTACAGCACCGAAAGGGTTGTTAATTCCCGATATTCCTCTTTACTTTTCTAAAGTTTGCAGTCGTAAGAACCTTCTCCTTACAATAAAGAACATAATAAAAAAGGAATCAGTAGAATAGGTCCAGGCGTTATTAAGTTATGCGCTTACCAACACATTTTGCGATTCATTTTTATATTATAGACTAGCGGCCCGCCCCCGCTTCGCACGGGTCCAACTATCTCCCTATCAAAGGGTCACTTTTTCCTAAACTTCCCCTCTATTTTTCTAACATTTTCTTTGATAAGAACCTTCCCCTGACAATAACAAACACAACAAAAAAAGAATTTGCAAAATTGGTCCAGGCGTTGTTGACTTATGCGCTTACCAACACATTTTGCGATTCATTTTTATATAATAGATTGTAAACTGTATCTAACTGATTTTATTTGTCTTTTCTTCCAATTTATGTTTACACCATAAAAGTAAGATAGGTAGTCTTGTTTTCTGTCTTCCTTTGTATTATTTTTTCATAGGTACATAACGTTACGTCATTAAAGCTGTAGGCTGAAGGTTCACAAATGTTGAAATTAAAGTCTTATAATAATTAGTTTACTGCAAGCTATTTTTCTTTAGCTTTTGATAAATCTTGAAAATAAATTTTAGGTTGATTTTCTTCAACAATTTGAGGTGAAATTTTTAACCGACTTCAAAAATGGAGGAGGTTCTCAATTCGACGAGTATTTTGCATAAAAGTTACGTTTGCATGCCAATAAATGCTTAATATAATTATTGATAAGATTCAGGAGTTCGCAAACCTGATAAAGGCCTGTTAAAAAGTCTTTTTTTAATTAATTTTACACTTCACCTGAACTAAATATCTGTAGTTGACGTCACATACAGTAGGCTAATGGCTTGGCACAGTGATTGCAATTCTTGTCATTCAAAATATCATCTGCAGCATTCGATATGCTAAACAGCTGGCCCAATACACACTTGTAGTAGTTGCATACTATGCATAATTTGCTTAATTGCCACGACTTAAATTGTCTACAATTGTTGTTTAGGTAAATGAACTACAGGATCGCCTACTAGTAAGCAATGAGCATTATAGATTTTATTTTTAATTTATACTAGCTACTCCCACACCGTTTCACCCGCTGCTCTTCTCCTTCAGATCGTAGCGTGATGATATATTTATAGCTTACAGCCATCCTCGATAAATGGACTAACAAACACAAAAGGAATTATTCGATTCCAACCAGTAGTTTCGGAGGTTTAAACAACCAAACTTTATAGCTTTATAATATTAGTATAGATATAACGTACCCCACGTTAGCATTTCTCCACATACACATCAACAGGGAAACGAACCAGCGACACATTGTACAGCAGCGGGTTCCTCCTGCTTATTGACCTACTAGTCCAATTTTTTTTTGCAATGCTAAACACCAGGCTGAATGAGGGTCAAACAAACGTATGCTAAAATGTAAAAATGTCGTCCGCGAGAGTCTCCCTATAAAGTTTGGCTATCTTCAGGTACCTAATTGTTTACTGAATAAGTACCTACGCAACGAAATGTTTGTAGTGTAAAAAAGACTCAAATATATGTCAAAAAAATCTAAATTTCATTACCTCACTTTCAATCAGTACACTTGGGAATCGAAACTATTCGATAAACGAGACCGGAGTCTCCTTCTATGTCAGTAGGTAGTATCATTCAAATATAAACTCTTAACTAAATAAGCTGTGAAATCAATTTACTTTAATAAAATTACTTAATATCAAACAATACAAAGGAAATAAGCGCAATTGCAGATTTTGGCAAGGATGACCGAAATCTGTACAGAAAATGTACATTAAGAAAAACACAAGACGCTTGTTAGCAACGCATAATAAATGGTATATGTATATGTACTCAGTGGACATGATTTACGACCATTTTGACGGAACCTAGCAAGCTTTTTATTAAACATTTTATTTTCATTTAAATTTATTACACACAAATTGGTGTAATCGTTGTAAACTTCCGTACCTCGTTAACTTTGTTCGATGGTTATTCTAGAATTATTTGTCGTGGTTTATATTTATGTATATTAACTAACTAAATAATACTTAATAACTGGGGAAAGACTTATACCGTAGAACTAAAAAGAAAGCGTCCAATCAAATCCCTGGATGGCATTGAAATAGAATAACATCTCCAAGGATACACAGGGCACACAGGCCTTGCAGAAAACAATGTTCATAATAGTACTAAAGCTGATGGAGCAGAGAGGAGAAGAGATAATTTTCTGCAATAAAACTTAATAAAAGTGCTAGTAGTGACATCTATATTCATTCTCTCAAACGTTGGCAACATTTCAGCTACAGATATTTAGAATTCAAGTCGTCTGAGTCTAGATGGCGCTGTTTTACATTCGTAGATAAATGCAAGGAAAAATTGTACAAAATGCCAGTGACATTAGTGATTTAGCATTTTTACACAAATATAATGAATTAACAAAAAAAAAACAAGCTATTCTAATCTTTAACAACCGCATTGCTGGGTAATAAATTTAAAAATAAATATATTGAAGTTACCTAGTTCAGAGCAGCATGCTGTACGCGTAGAAAAGTATATATTCATACCTACTCTTTATAATATTCTAGTGAGTCATGATTGACGAGTTTCTGACGCTAACCGCAGCATTGGCTTAGTAAGGTCATCTGTGTCATAACAACAATGTTCAAAGAACTAAGATTAGCCTTAGTTTAAAGAATAATGAAAATATACAAAGGTTATGGTGGTAAATTGAGATCAACTAACAACAGAATATAGCCACTTCTATTAAATGTATCGAGAACTTTACTAGTTTGGTTTGTACCTAAGTTATATACCAATGGTAAACTTGAAAGACCAACTAACTGAATTTTTATAGAAAATGACTTTTTGAGAGTCCTATCTTTTCCGCTTTTCGTATGTTTACGCAAATTCTCTTGCAGTTTAAATATACCCACTTAGTTGCAACATTCTAATAAAACATCCCCCAACAATACAAAAACTCTGTAGAAAAATACCAGTTAGAAGGTAGTGGTAAGGTATAGGGTACCTCAACAGTTTACAGAAGATTCAATAGTCATAATTAGCCAGAATTACTCCAAAAATAAACTTACAATGTGAAACAAAAGAGGTTAAGGCCATAGTGACATGCTTACATAAAAACAGTAACTCTTAATATACTCAAATTAAATATCTAACTGATAAATTAAAAACAAAAATGTGATCAATACTGGAAATTGTACCTATAAAAGTATTTTAAAATCTTGTGTTATGCACAAAAAAAAAACACAAAAAAGTCCTGCATTTTGAGGTCCTTATTGTTAATTTCTGCAATATCATTTAAATTAATAGAAGGAAAATAAATACTAAGTAAACCGAGGTAAAGTTACAACCTATATGTTATCAACATAATAACAAACGCGAGGACTCCAAGAATTTGTTCTTGACTCCACTGGGCCAGTGTTTGTAGGTCAAACTATGCATCACAATAACTGCATCACATTATGCAATGTCATATACTTGATAGCATTGATGTTATTATGCATCCTATGATTATTAAGTAATAAAATTAATATGAAACATATTTTGGTTAATTACGGTTGACTGTATACTCAGGAAACTGATTGACGAGTCACTCGACTAGTTTCAAGCTACGGCAGGGACTCATAGCATTTCATAATTATCTGTGGCGATTTAACTCGTGAAAGTCTCGAAGTAATGAATTTAAAGTTACAATACAAAAGTTGTTTGTTTGTCATTTACACTTCATTTGTTAAATTGCTGCACCATTTTCGATGTTATGGTAGGCGTACAGTTAGGTTTTACATCCCCAAAGAACTGAAAACTAAAACAGACATTGGTATACTATTACTTAAGACATAAAATATATTAAAATTAAATACATACACAAACATTATTTAAAATAACTTGTGTAATTAAAACGTCATCATGAGTAATTGGTAAATACAATAGTTTTGTAACTCATCAATAAGTCATTAGAATCCTTGAATGATTACATTCCAAGAACTTAATACACTAGTATTTGGTAGAAATACAATATTTCATGTTTTGACAGTTGTCCTGTTGGATTTTTTTGTTTAGAATGCTAAACAGTAAGTAGAGTAGATGATCAACTAAACAGTAAATAATTTTTGTTTTGTTTTTGAATCCGTATGGAATATAAAATTTAAAGCAAATAAGGCACTATAGGCTTAGACACTCTGATAAAATTTAGGTTCAGACTTCCGCCTTGGAACCTCGTTTTACCCTTTCAGGGAATAAAACGTTATGTTACAGTCTTCGTTATTATTTGGTATAAGCACTGACAATTGGGTGCAAAAAGGTGACAATCTATCTATGGGGGTATAATATCGCCCCTTTAAATGCCCCGGGACAAAATTAATTGACAGGGCTGTAATTTAAAGGCCTCTTTGTTGGTTATTGAAGTTATACGAATGCTATCACGATAGTAAACGTGAGTAAATGTATCTTAGAATTCTAGACAATAGTTTATCGTCACATTTCCCTATCATATAATAATTGTTTATTTAGCATATTAAGCCTTGACTTACATGCAGTTAACATAAACATAAAATATCACGCCATTTATTTTTCTAAAACCTATCTAAATACATTTTGTTATGTTATAATACATAAATGTTTCCCAATCTTCTTTGGTCCTATCATGACGTGTGAACAACAAACCGATTTCAATAATATGTTTTTAATGAGAGATTATTAGGAGAAAGTTATAGCGAAAGAAAATATTACAAAAGTCAAGGGGAAAATAGGGTTGGCAGCTCTTTTGACACTGTGGCGGTTCGTTAACAAAACAAATGAGGGACACCAGTGTTGTTTAACATCCGTGAATAGCAGGGACGGACAGCTTATAAATATCCAATAACAACCTCTTTTAGATTTCAGATAGGAAATGCCAGCCTTATCTAGTTTTTTACACAATATAATTAGACGTGTAAAAGAGCCGTTTAATGGCCTATTTGTAAAAATAATTTCATTAGTTTATTGTTCTCATCAACTTATCATAAGACGCATCAAGTGCCATATAACAAGGGATCAATCAGACTGCGTGCTAACCATCGATAGTTTTGAAAAGTGAAAAGAGAAAAGAGACAACACTGTTTATTTTTTGAGTTTAGAACTCTCAATGGGTCCGATCAACCATAGCTTGCTTTGCTTTGTTTTTGCTGGTACAACTGTAGAAGAAAAAGTACTTGAAACCAGCATTTGTCGTTCAAGTCGATCAATGGAACAGTCATTAGCATTACATATAATTTAGATGTATAATATAATGTAAAAGCTTGTAATGGCAGATGATCTACTGATGCGGGGTTATCTACTCATAAAACACGGTAATTTGGGTCAGTCGGGCATGGCCGCCATAATACGTTAGACTACGTGGTAGAGGTGCTTTTAATTTAATGCACAACAATTTGTTGTTATATAACACGGTTCATTATTGACCATTATAGTCTTATATGTATAATTTGTGTTAAAATTCCTGCTCATGTTTTAACAGCGACCTTATCAAAACTCGGAAACTAATGCAACGTATTTTTGCAAATACGATATGTAAAAGCGCCAAAAAAATATATTTTGTAAACAATGTAAAAACGATTCAATATTTGCCGTCAGTCATTTGAGTACTCGACCTATCATCCTAGCTTGGTATCTTAAACAGATGATAGACTGAACAACGTACAAATCTTTTAGCATTATATTGTCACTCACCGAAGCAGGCTTAGTGTAATCAGAAGATATATTCCTAGATCCATTTATTGAGCCATATCCAGTGGAAGACGGTGAATTTAAGCTGCCTCCTGGCGAGCTCAGGCGACCAGGAGAACTGCCTCTGCCGAGGGGAGAGCTGGTCCTGCCAGGAGACGCAGTTCTTCCACCAGGTGAACTCCTGCCACCTGGACTGCCTACGCGGGCGCCAGGATTAATAGAGTTCTGAAGGTCGGCGAGCAGCGCATCTGGAATCAAGTGAAATGGATTTGTTAGAAAATTATTTGTACTTAAAGTATTTACTTACATTTTGAAAATAACAACTGGTCACCATTTTGGTAACCAGCACCTGTATTTTAATTAAGATTTATATAAGGATAATTTTCTGTTTCTTAAGAAGGTAAGTACCTTAATTAATCGATTCATTTTAGATGAATTCGATTCGAAGAAAATATAATTCGATTGTGTGTTTGAGTTTCAATCATTTCATCATTCTAAAAACGATAATAACGGGCCAAACTAGAGGACATGTGGACTTGTTGAAACCTAACGAGTTATGCTTGTGTCTAATTTGTGACAATGTCGATTGAACAAGCACATAAACATCATTTGATCACTTCGGAGAAAACAGTGCGTAAAAACCGGTATTAAGTACGTATAATTACCATATTTACATACATCATTGACCGTTACAATGACAAGTCAAACAGCCTTTAAGCTATATTAGCGCCATCTGTTGAGCAAAAACCGGTAGCTCGCAGCTACACTTTATTTATTTGTTAGAACGCAGAAACTAAACGAGATGTTAATTTTGGGATGACAGTTAAAAGGACAAAAATATGTTTTATTTACAATAATTATTTTATCAGTGTCTGCTGTTAAAAATTAAATTAATTAACGTCATTTATTAATCCCATTCGTCGATTATACTTACACGTATTTGTTAATATACGGTAAAAAAATAACACTATAGAAATAACAACTCACCCTCCTATTATGATTCATTATGAAAAGAAAAATCGGAAAATCAATTGTAATTTTACTGTTAAAATGGATTAACAGTTTGTAACGAACAAATAAATACTCGTAATACCTAGTATATATTATCTAACCTATTAATATAAATAAAGCGAACTGTATTTGTAAAATGTCATCATGTTTCGAGTATAACGGGGTCCCTCTAATTGAATGGAATTAATATTATGGTGTCGGACGATTGCAGTCTCATGTAGACTGTGTTTTGTATGCCAAAATGTTTTGCTTTTTCCTGAAAAAGTCATAATTTTTTTTTATTTATTATAGCTGACCCGACATTCTCCATACCAGGACTCAAAATGGCTTGTCGTACTGTCAATATTGTTCCTTATCAAAATATTTCAAAATTTACGTATAGGAAATAAAACTGTTCTTTTTAATACCTTTGCCGTAATTATCTCAGTATTAAAACATCGAATATTTCAAGGCCATCCACGATTTTATAAATATTCACATATATCTTCGGTCCAGACGTTTTAGAGTTTTAGCGAGGCCAGAATAAAACTACAGAAGGAATTAGTTTTTCACAACAAATCCTAAAACTAACTAATGTATAGATCTTGACAGCCAATTGACCACCCGTGATAGAGCCTAATAGGATGGGGAAGCGGGTGCAACCGCAATAATGTATCGTAGTACTGGTCTGGAGCAGCATAAGGAACGGTGGGTTTTAGTCAGTTAACTTAGAAGGCTTAGGCCCTTGGTGGGGCTAGAGTCTAGCCCCACCGAGAGAAGTCGTGATGATATTCCCACAAAGACAGGTACATATAGATCTCTATCGAAACATTTTTGAAGCACTTATATTTAATTGGACAATAAGATAAAACTAGGCACAGAAATGTTAAAAATCTAGTTTTTTAACCAGAAACTAAGGAAATTTCTAATATTAAACAGGTGATAAAGGAATAAACATATTATCCCCGAAAGAAGACAATTTAAAAGACGTATTATGCTTTTAATTTATCCAGATTTCGCCAATACCTAACGTGTTCATAGACTATAAAATATTCAGCCTTCGTATGTCCATGGTATGGGGATATTGAATAAATAGGTTACAAATAAAATGTTATAGGGAAATATAACACCTAACTCCAATAATTTGTATTACTCGTTTATACGCTATTTCATAGAGACTTTCCTCAAAGGCTGTTATAATGCTATTAAACTTTTAAATGTCAGTTATAAAATATAAACTCAGTCCACAAGGCAGACTTCATAATTAATATCAACAGTACAATAAATAAATAAATAAAATATTAATAGAAGGAACCTACATAGCTACCAATAATGAAACAAAGGGACTCGACATTTTGCATAATTAAAAAATTGATACATTTCGCTGCGCAAGCGCACCCGGCCGATACTGTACACCAAGACTCGTTTGTCAGGAACTAGTTTGCATTTCGGAGTTCAACGCCTTCTAAAGGCTCTAAAAAGGAATAAAGAATACTCTCCATTAAAACCCGCTAAGGATTCAATGGCTTAACCTTATCGGTCAAGTTACACAAATTGCCTACCACCATAGATAAGCAATGTTACACAAGACATTGCCACAAGGAGGCTCTTGTTATAATCACGATAAAAATGATCCCATTAGTTGAACAAAAATACATATTATATTAACACAATATTCGAACATGAATAAGTTCAATACCAGGTTAAGTCAATAACAAATGTAAGTGAGTCAAAGTCAACGTATCTAAGAACAGGATATTAACGGAGTAAATACAAAGTATAGGTAAATATCAAGAGACACAGTTTAAAATTATTATACCTAGTCCACCAACAGCTTCATACACTTCTTCGTACTGCATCTTACTTGGAGACGAACTCTTATTGCTTTTCAAAATTTTCCCGTAAATATCATCGTTCACTTTATAATGAGAATGAGACATTTTTGAAAATTATAAATTAAAACTTTTTGGTATCACTTAAAACTGTTCACAAGAAACTGGCCGCGGCAAATTCGCAAACGCCATAAAAGTAAAAAAAACTTTCGCCTCAAGGGCGGAGGAAGGGATTCTAAATTTAAATATATCTCCTTTGCCCTCGTGCGAGCAAAGAGGCGCGGGCGACTCTCTTATGGACTAATGCAGTACTGATTCACCTCCACAAGCGCAGACCGCAAAAATCGCTCACAACCTAACATATTGTTCACATAAATATTTGTGATTCTTTAATCGTATGTGCTTTAGAAGCGCTGCGAGAGATGAGGTCACGAATTAGTATTTCGGTCGTGTTAGATGCGTTTGTTCGGACAGTGTAAACCAAATCCGATATAGACGTAGATAGAAAGTAAACGTTTGGTTGTTCTAATACGTTAAAATAAAGCGCTATATGTGCTTGATGGTACGTTTCATCAATGAACTCGCTGACGCCGCGTTGATAATACGGAGTTGAGGCGTCATAGGATGACGCGTTCGCGGTGGAATTTGTCTGCTAGCCCTCTCTGGCCAGTCGTGATGTTCGGTTTAGTAGTGAGAGAAAGGACACGCAGATTAGTAAGCACATTTGGAATTTCACAGAAGTACTGAACTTTATAGCCTTTGGAAGGCCGTCAGAGACAATAATACAAGCTAAGGTTTGTAGCACAGCGCGTTGGTCTATGATCTATTTTGTATTATAATACCTGGTTGAGTTTCTGTCAATCTAATTTAATAGTTTCCTAGGGCAAAAATTTACTAGACAATTTTAAACTAATAAATTATTTTTAACAAATAATTAAAATATAATCATTTTTTTATTACTTAATTGACTTAACGATACTTACACCTACTTCGTTTTATATTTTTTCCAGCATTTTTTTTTCATTAATAAGTACCTATGCAAAAATTGACATGTTGCTCGCTTCATACAAAATTCACAGAGAAGTATCGTGTTGCTGAAACTTATAATTTGACGTCGTTTCTATTCGAAAAATCGAAATGTGTAGGCTTTTCAATTATAGAATGTAAACGTAAACAGGGAAATATGCGGGTATAAAAAAAGTTTTTGGTTCCCATATTATTATAACTCATAATTTATTTATGTAAAAAGTGTTAGTTAAATAAGCTATTGTTTTTAAAATAATAATAACTTAACAACCTTTGTAATACAATATCCTACTGGACCGTATTTATAAGATTGTTATAGCAAATCACAGATTTACACTGAACAATATTGCTATTCCAATAATATCAGGCGTACAACAGTTACGTGTGCGCAGGCGCATGTGATAAAATCCTTTACTTCTGCATTTAGGACATAAAAATTGACTTAACTTAAATACAGTTTTAAACAGCTGTAAGAGTGTGATTATTTATTATCTACCTAAAAAATCAATAAATGATAATATAAATATCAATATACATAACTGGTACTGGAATCATAATACGCGATGCGATGCAAACTCTATCTATGAACGGCTTTCCGAAGCTCGACAATGTTTGCTGTCTTGTATCGTTTAGAATTGTAAAACTAGATGGCGTTAAGCGTCTTCTCTGTGATTTGTAGAATCAAACTTTTTCATATTATTAGTATGCCACTTATAGGCAAATTAAATTTTTAATGTACAGAATAGAGGGGGCAAAGAGGAGCAGATTATAAAAACTGTGTTGTATTCACGATACACTGCTACCAATCAATTTGAAAATCGAGAATCAAAGACAATAGAATGAAATAAAATACGTCTATGATTAGGAGGAATTCCTAATACAAAACGGTAAAAATGGGAAAGTTTGTATTGAGCAGTTGCTTTTAACTCAACTCAAGTAATCCACTTTAAGGTCCAAAATGAAACGAAATTCAAAAGGTTCAAAAATTACTTCAACGTTCATATCACGAAGGTAATTAACAAAATCATCAGGGTGCAACGAATCAAAACGATAACTAACTGCAGGAAATAAGGCGCTTCCTAAGCCAACACGACGTTAATTAATAAGATTTCAGATTAAATTAATGGTTTAATTAGTTACGGAAACTGGTAGCGCATTCATATTTCACCACCGAGTTAGGTGGTACATCATAATATCTTTAGAGTGAAAAATTTACCACGACCCCGGCCTAGAGCAGGAGAAGGAACGGGTGTATTTTAATCAGTAAGGGCATTTGATACGCCCTGGCGCATGGCGCCCTATCCTGGGCGGTAGAAGTTTTGATAATTTCCTACCAAAAAATGGGGGTAAAATATAAATAGGGATCCTAAAGCACGAAGTTAAAATACGAGTGCATTTTG